TATATATATATATATATCAACTTGAATCATGCATACAAACATATACATGTCTAGCTGTTTACGTAGATACAATTAGGGCTTGGAGGGAGTTATCGTCGCAACGAAATGCCTCGAGGCGGGGTACCGCGGGATGTAGGGTTTAGGGTTCAGGGGCTTGGAGTTTTAGGGTAGGGACGCGACTAACTGCATGTTTCCACTGCTCTGAGCGTCAGGCTTGACGGACCATACTCTCGGTGCTTTGTGTGTTCTGAAAGGCTTTAAATAATAAACCCTGAACCCATTTTCTCCATCAGCAAGGGGGGTTGGCTCCAGGGTGCGCGCAGCTTTTTGGCATGCCAGGGAACTGCTCCATCTCACTGTACAATGGGTGTCCCTGCAACGAGGATCTGGAAAGGCTGCGCAGCCCAGATTCCAGATAGGCCTTTGAGGCCCGTCTGTGATGTACCGTTTAGGGTACGCCCCTAAACCCTAAACCCTAAACCCTAAACCCTGAGCTTTTAGGGTTGAGGCTCAAGCCTCCTAGCCGCTGTAGGGCGGAAGGCCACAGCCCTTCGGGTGGCGCTTTTGCAAGGCGGCCTGTCGTTCTGCGAAGGGGCTGATGGCCAGACCGATATCTGCCACGGATGGATACCTGTTCTTTCTCTTCGGGCTATCTTATGAATCAAAAAATGGGTCGTTAGAACAAGGATCAACCCTAGCCTTTCGACTGGGTCCTTCTGCAAAGAGTCTTACTCCTTTGGGGCCATAGGTAGGATCGCTGATTTGTGTATCTCCCACCTCCACAGCCGACGCAGCCGGCGGTGTAAGAACGGGACCGAATAAAGACCTGGGGTCATGCCCAGACGCTCTAAAGAGAATATGGTGCACGTAGTCTTTGCCTGGAAATGGTGATGCGGTGATGGCTATGACGATGAAGGAGATGATGACATGAGTCTGCGTTTTTTTTGGCCAAGTTGCTACTTAAAGGATCATGGGACTTTGTAAGTAGGGTTATAATTAGGGTAACTATACTTATAACCCCAATTAAGGGACTTATAACCCTACTTACTACGTCCCATGATCCGCCAAGTAGATATCCACGAATGGAGCCCAGGAGCCGAACCATACCGCAAATCCCGCAAGCCGGAAGCCGCAAACCTCCCAAAAGTCCAACAAATAGCCCGGAAACCTCTGAAACCCCTATAGGGGCCTAAATAATTACCTACCTTATTTTGGGGGTTATAGTATAATGGGCCCCAAAACCCCATTCTAAATATTAAGGCCCCTACATTACTAGCGCTAACAAACCCTGACAACCTGAAACACTAAACCCACAACGCCCAGGAGCCATACCGTTCCGTCTCCTGGACGGTGCGATCGAAATAGACCCCATCCGGAAATGCCGGAGCTTCGAAGCAAAACCAGCCCGCTCCTGAAGGAACACCGATGGGATGAGAACACACACACACACACGGTTTAGGGTTTAGGGTAGTCATGTATATTATGTTGGGGGCTACAGGAAAGAGCTTCAGGAACATTTGGTTTGAGGCCTTAGGAATTACGTAGAGAGTTTAAGTTTCGGGCCTTGCTTCAGACTGTCAGGGTGTAGGCTGTACGCTTTTAGGGCTTGTAGGGTCTGTAGCAAGCACCGTGAAACAGCCTTTGAATACCTTTCGAGTCTATAGAGCAGACTAACTCTGAAATTCTAGAAGCAGAGGCGCCGGATGGGCCATAGCGAGGCCCCAGAAACGGCGGGGCGTTCACCTCCACCTCGCTCAAGCGCAAGCCCAAGGATTCCTGGAAGATCACAACTGCTGGGATTTTGTCGCGACCCTACGCATGGGTAACTGTCAAAAACATGGTTCCTTTGTAGGGGAAAGGGATTCGGAGTTTCGCGCATACATACACAAGTAGCCGCGGCGAGCGCCTGCGCATGCATGTTACCCAAATGCCGACAAAACTGCATCCAGCCCAGGCCCCCCAGCCCAGCTTCAGCCCCAACCCAGCCTCAAGCCACAGCCCCAGCCAACCCAGCCAGGCCCACCAATAAGTTTGTGGATGCAAAACTTGAGAACTTCAATACACGCAATCTCGCTAAGCCATCTCGGCGAGACGTTATTTAGTTCCGGGGCTTTTAACGGATGTGCAGAAGACGTGTGTGTTTCAAGGCTCGGCAGCCGAGTTCTCAATGTGATGAGATGACTCCGACATGTGAAAGACTTTCAAACAAACTTGGCAGGGCTTGACCTACCCCTGAACTTAATTCAGGAAGTTCACCGGCTTCTATTGCGTCGTTTCACCTGGTCAAACGTCGACCAATGGTTCTGCCAATGTGTCGATCCCAACTAGACTACTTCGACACCCTTAAACCCGCAATCCCCAACCCTAAACCCTTCGAATCCCTAAACCTCCAACCCTAAACACCTAGCCCTGACAGAATCGTGGTCATGAGCATGAACTTGCGCAAGTGAAACCTGCAGATTCCTACAACGGAAACCAGAACCCAACAAAGCTCAAAACTAAAACAACTAAGCAGGAGCCTAAAATCAAAACCCGACTGCGGCAGAAAGTCGACGATGGGCACCGACACCTCGAACAAGTAAACAGACTTCTCCTTTTCGGTGTAGCCGGAAGCTATGCACGAGGTCCTAGGCTGTTCAAGCAGCCCACTGGGGAAAGTGCAAGTGTAATTTGCACTGGGTTAAATATACTTACGAACAAGGGAACAGCCTGGGGTCGTCTGCCAGTCATCGTGGAGCGAGACCGAAGGATCGTGACCGATTAAGCGCTTCAGATGTGCGATGTATAGCCTGACAGTTTTCAGGGAGGTGTGGTGTAGTGTATGGGCCTTACAAGTTAGAAGTGGTGTACTGTAATATACAGACGTTTTAGTTAGAACACGGGTGTTGGCTCAATTAGAGTGTAGTCTGGGGACGAAGCTCAAACCCCACCAGGATTAACAGGGCCTTGGTATGCATCAGTAGTGTGTCTTTGGGCTGTAATGGAGCGTAGTTGGGGGGCGCCCGGTAGCTCCTAAATCGCTGCTGACTACGACGTATCGGGTTTCGGGTTTACAGGGGTTTAGGTGGTCTAGGATTCATCTGTAGCGGATTGTAACTTGACGGTTCCCAGAATTAGTATTTGTGAATCGGTACAACTTCCTATAAAGGAAACCCAACAGCCAGCCAGGTTAGCTAGCTGTAACCCTGTTGCAAACCTGTGGCTAATGATCCCACTCCCGGCTTGTGAGAACTGTCATCGACTTTTCCGGGATCCGACTCAGGACTTTGAAAAAGGCGCTGCTATAAACCCATAAACCTTAATAAGCCCTACCCCTAGAACTTACACCCCAAACGGACGATACTAAACCCAAAAATCCTCACCCCCTCAATTCCGAAACCCTAACAACTAAAACTCGAAAACCCGAAACCACAAATCCTGGGTAGACGTTACGCCCTTCCCGAGCTTTGCCTTGCTACCACGACCTTGACCACCCCGTGCTCTTCAATGACTTGACTCAGCTCTTCGGCAGACACCTTCCAAGGTTGAAAACATGGGCCCCCCCTATGGGCCCTTAAGTTGGGATGCTTATAGACCTACTATATACCTTGTATGTATCAATGAGATTCCCTAGACTCACCACAATCCGTTTTTGTGGGCACCTGGTATAGCCCTAGACACTTCGCAATTCGAACATACTGGGCTATGGTTTTTAAACCATGGGCTTAGGGTTCTATAAATTAGGTTCTATAAGGTCCAGCGTTTGGGGTTGATTGGGGCAGCATCCTGATCTGCAAGGCGAGCGAACTTAAGGTTTCGGTAGGCCCGTTGACATCAGACGTTCTTGTGGGTAACCTCTCGTGAAAGGTCCTCCAAACCTATTTAGGGTCCATGCTGGATTTCTGGAAAGTGATGTAGAGCTTGGGCGGCGGTTGAAATTGGATCTACAGTGGGCTAAAGCCCACAACCACAAATCCCCACAGCAACGGCCCAAACACAAACACTACAACGGTGAAACCCACAAAACCCAACAACCCAAACGTCGAAACTTTGGAACCTGGATATATACTAACCCCGAAGCACAAGCCCCCCCACAATCGCTGGTTAAAGAGTTAAAGATCGAACTCCAAACGTGAAACTCCAACCCTATATCAAACCCTTACAAAACACATCAAATCCTATAAAACCCAAGCGACGCCCTTCTAAACACCCGACGGCAAGCTGCCCCAAACCCTAAACCCTTAAGCCCTGAACCCCTAAGCCCCAAATCCCAAACCCGAGTGCGGGGCCTTAATAATTAGAATAGGGTTTCGGGGCCCATTATACCATAACCCCAAAATAGCATGGGTCTGGAATTAGTTTGGGAGATTTGTATTTTTGAATTCTTTTTTTTGTGTGTTTTGGACGGATTTCGTGCCATTTCCTAGGACTTCATAAGGAAAACCTAGGTTACCTTGTGTGTTCCTCGGCCAAAAACATTATTTCGTTACATGTTGGACGGATTTCACGCCATTTCTTCAAGTTTTCCTATGGCAAACCTACGTTACTTTGGATTGTTCGTCTTCTTCTCCTTATTGTTATTCTTCTTGTTGTTGTCGTTGCTGTTGCTGTTGGTGTTGTTGTTGTTGTTGTTGCCAGCTTTTTTTTGCTGCGTGTGTGCGGTGCGTTTTTATTTGCTGAGTGTGCGATTGGGGATTTTGGGCTTGGATCCATGGGCTTGTCGTCGGCTTTGCGGATGGCATCACGCTCTCGGGGTTTACGGGGGAGTCAGGCTTCTGGGGTCCGGGATTTTAGGGTGTTAAGGATTGCTTTACTGTGGGACCAATCACGAAGCTCTCGATTCAGCTGCGATGTCTAGGGCCGCTTACGAAGCTCTCTCTTACCAACATAGCCAGGAAAACGTCGCGATTGTCCTTCATTCGTGGTTCGTGCGACGAGAGCCAACACCTTACGGTTCAGGGTTTAGGGGTTTAGGGGTTTAGGGCCAATTGTTTCGGAATCACGAGTTTCCCAGATTCAGAAGACATCGCATCGATGAGTCGGTGAGGATCAAACATCAAGAGACAGCAACATTGATTAAACCACGAATTCTGGTCTCCTCGTGCTGTGTCGACATGGCCCTGCAAAGTGTTGCCGCGTGGCTCGCCGCCTCCATGCCTAGGTCGGGGTTAGGGGTTTCAGGTTTATTTCGTGGTTTTAGGCTTTAATCAAGGAACAAGGTTTCGGATTGAATTCGGAAGGGTTTCTGGTTTCGGGTTGTTAAAGCAGCAAGTCGTGCCCTACGTTCCGATACACCGCAGCCAGCCTGTTTTTCGGTATATGGTTCACCACCTATACGGTTTGGGGTCAGCGCAGGGCTTAGCGCTTAGTGCCAAAACAGCTATTTGGGCTGGAACGACTTTTTGAAGAGCTCGACGAGCTTGAGCTCGAGCTTGAACTTGGCTGCTTCCTTCACAGGTTTCGCAAAGTACGTCCTGCGGGGCAGACTTCCCTGTTGGGCTTTTGGCGGTGAAATCTTCCGGTAAAGGGATATCTGTGTGCGCAGGTCGTGTCTGGCATCAGTATTCTGGCCTCTTCTTGTTTTTGCCAGCTTTCTTGTCCATCCTGCACGAGGAAGTGCTTCACACAGTCGTTCAAGCTTCACGATAGACAGTTCTAATACGTCTGCAAGACGAGCTGTTTGGTGAGCTTCGGAAGCATGGTTTTCCAGTGGCTGGTGTGAGAAATCAAACAGCGCAAAACACGGCAATGCTTGCAACAACTGATAAGGAAAACGTGGCTCAGCGCATGTCACCGCAACATGCATCAATAAGATTCAGAAGCCAAGACGACATATTGCCATGGTACGAACGCGCACAAATACTGTGGCCTCGACTTCGACTTCTTTGGTTCGACAAACTCCAGGGAAGCAACTTCTGATGCAGGATGATTGACGCACAGCCCGTGGCCATGTGTAGGAATGTGTTGTCGCCACCATGGTGCGGCAGCATGGAACACAGAAAGAAAACGTGCTGGCATATCGGTGACATCTTTTGCTGTTGTGTTGCTCTCTTAGTCTTGTCCGTGTAAGAAGAAGATAAGCTGACGACGGATAGAGGCAGGGGACCTAGACTACTAGAGATGGAAAAGTGCTAAAGTGTTTCCTCAACGTGTTGTTGGAGGAATCATGAAGCTGTGACATCGTGAATAGGGGCTCAGCTTCATTTGATGGATGGACTGCTTCTGTCAGCAAGAAGCTATTGATCTCGCTGGAAGAGTATTGCGCTGCAGGGCCGCTTAGTCGCTGCCCTTTCATGCTTCTTCTCGACGTAGGTTCCTGCGAAGGCAGCTACGACGGGTGGTTATAGCCGCGCATTGATGATGCTTGCTGTTGCACTTATGTTTCGGCCATGCAGCTGTAAAGTGTGCCGTCTGTAGTTCGTGCGCACGATCTTTTTCCATCCTCGGGGCTGTGGCCGGCGCGGCATGCTGTAGTACTAGTAGCAGTAGTAGTAGTAGTAGTAGTAGTAGTAGCAGTACTAGTAGTACTAGTAGTAGTAGTAGTAGTAGTAGCAGTAGTAGTAGCAGTAGCACTAGCAGTAGCAGTAGGAGCAGTAGTAGTAGTAGTAGTAGCAGTAGTATTGGTAGTAGTAGTAGGAGTAGTAATAGTACTAGTAGTACCCGGACTGGTAGTAACCTGTCTGACAAGGTTTCTCCTACGTCACGTTCACTAGTGATGCTGGTGGTTCAAGCATGAACATCTCCTCAGCAAAATTGGGTCCCAAGAAAAAGGCTGCTGAAACATATCAAGGCTTGCCCTAGCAATCCTTGAGCCTGCAACATCGAGAAAAGCCACATGGTTCTCCACAGAACCAAGAGGGGGGGGGGGTCATCATCTTTCACGCAGCTGCCCCCATTTGCAAACACAGTGTCTGTCTCACGGGTTCCGAATGGGTCCATATAGGTTCATGTTCTTCTTGTGGCAACACCTTGGTTGAAGCGAGCCTGCACGGTTTAAAGAAGCGAGGGCGTTTGTGGGTTAGGGGGGTGGAAGGGCGCCCTATTCGCAAGCTTGACCGACAAAAAAGCTGCCTGATATTAGGAGGTTGGGGAGGTTTGGAAAGGCGCCGCCCACCGCCCTATGTGCAACGTTTATCAAACAAAAAGGCTGCCTGTATGATGGGTTCTGACAAGCGCTATGTTATGTGCAGGACGGAGTTCTTGTTGATGGCGCGGTGTTCTTGAAAGCAAGCTTGCACGGCGAATAAGACCAAAGCAGGGGGGGTTGGTGGGGGCCCCCCCATTTGCAAACGCAATGTCTGTCTCACGGGTTCTGAACGGGTCCATATAGGTTGATGTTCTTCTTGTGGGTTTACAAACAGCCGAAGCCGAGAAGCCGAAAGCCCAGAAGCCAAGGAAGCCAAGAAGCCAAGAAACCAAGCGTCAGGGCTACAAAACTACAAAACCAGTGAGTCAAAGCCCGGAAGCCAAGGAAGCCAAGAAGCCAGAAAAGACAAAAAGGCAGGATGCTTCAAGCCGGAAGGCTAAAAGAATTCGAGTGGCGAGGCCGAGGCCAGGAAACCAACAAACCACAAGCCGAGAGACCGCGCACGCACCCAAGCCAAAAACAAAAAAATCTTCCAAAAAAAATCCCAAAATAAATAGGCCTCCGAATAGTCTTGGTAATTATTTTGGCCCCTTACAATTAAACTAAACCCTGAACTTGCCAGCTTCTGCGTTGAGAGCCTCCCGCCTGAAGCTGGCCTCGAGGGAAGATCTCTTTGGCCTCCACACGGGGATCCACCGGGTCGGTGCATTTTGGTAGGAAGTTGTCTTAAGGCTTAAGCTTTATTGGGGTTTCGGGTTATAGAGTTTCGTACTTATATAGAAGTTTAGGGTTTATAGAATTTCGTACTTATATAGAACAAGGGTTTCATTGCAGGGTGCTATACTTCTACTGTTTGGTTTGGCTGTTTGGCGGCTCCTTGCCCCTCTGAAAGCTCGACGTCCGGAGGCTCGACGCTTCAGGGCTTCTGGGTGTGGTGTTGGGTTTGGCGTTTAGGGCATCGGGTCTCGGCTTCGGGCCTTTACGGTTGAGATGTGTGGGCCTTTAGGGTTCCCCTTTAAGGGTTTAGGGTTTAGGGTTTAGGGTTTAGGGTTTAGTCCCCCCCTCTCCCCCGGGAACTCCATAAATCATCAGGTTGGTTTTCTTCTTCGTGGCGACAGCGTTCGAGGGCTTTGCCACGTAAAACGACACTACTCCAGAATCATCACCGAGATTCTCCCAACCCTAAACCCTAAACCCTAAACCCTAAAACCCTAAAACCCTAAACCCTAAACCCTAAACCCTAAACCCTAAATCCCTAAACCCTAAACCCTAAGAGTCGAGAGGGGAGAGCCTTCGGGGCCTTCGGGTTCAGGGATCAGAGCTTCAAAGGTGACGTCATCGACTGCTCGGTGACGGGCAACCTAGGGTTTGCAGAATGACAGCACCACAAAGATGATGTAGGGGCCTTAATGACTAGAATAGGGTTTTGGGGAGATCCTTATACTATACACTCAAACCCTATTATAATTATTCATGCCCCTATATTAAGAGCTCAAGGTTTTTGATTTAGGGCCTTGCAACGGCCACCACTTGACAAGACCAGCGAACCCTAGCCCAGAGCCCAAAAGCATGGAATTGAGCTCCAATCTTTAGACTTTGCACCCCACGTCAACCCTGACGAGCTTCAGCCTTACCTTTACTCCAAAAAACCGACTCAAGATAAGTTAAGGAAACCATGAGAAGGCATCCTCAAAAGACGGCTTCATATCCAAGTACAGCCTAGACCCTTAACCCTCAACCCCTAAACCCTCGACCCCAAACCCCTAAACCTCTAAACCCCTAAACCCCCAACCCTGAAAAGCCCTTCGGTCCAGGGCCTGTATGATACGCCGCAGCCCAGCCGCATCTAGGGAAAGGGCTCGATATGTCGTCACACGCCCGAGGGCACCTGAGTTTTGTATCTATCCACCTCACATCTCGGGGTTAGATTCTTTCAGGATTTAGGGTCTATTTAGGGTCTTGGGTTCAGAGACTGAGTCCAGCGTTTTCAAGACACCGGTGACTTATGTTTGGGGATTCTTACTACAAGGGACCTCATGAATGATCGAAGCGAGACCTCAAGAACACTTGTTACTCGACGGATATTTGAGTCTCTCGAAACCAGAACCCCAATTCTTGATGCGATGACTCTATGTCTAAAAGAACGGCTCCATAAGGCTCACTTGCAGGGTACGGCTTAGAAAGTTTAGTGTTCCGGGTTCCAACTTCTAAACCCCCAAAACCTTCCAAACCTAACACTCGCTCCCACCGACACCCCAAAACCCTAAACCCCAAACTCCCTCCCGTAGCCTAGAGACCCCCCACCCCTCCAAACCCCAATCCCCTCCCCCAAGCCCTAAATCCTAAACCCCAAATTCCTAAACCCTATAACCCCAGAACCCTAAACCCCAAGCTCTAAAACCCTAAATCCCCAACCCCCAAAGCCCTAAACCCCTGAACACACAAAAAAACAAAAGGAAACCACGCGAAACCCCTGCGTAGGGCCGCGGAGGCACGCGCAAAACCGGCGAAAGCCAACTCGGGGCTCGAAGGCGGCTCGGGGAGTCCAGTGACCCACTTGATAAACCTAACGGTTTAGGGTTTAGGGTTTAGGGTTTAGGGTCTAGGCTTTAAGGGTTTTCAGGGGTTCAGGGTTTAGGGGTTAGGGTTTAGGCCTTTAGGAGTTATGTTTTAGGGGTTAGGGGTGTAGGGTTTAGGAGTTTAGGGTTTAGGCGGTTTAGGGGTGTAGGGTTTCGGGGTTCAGGGTTTAGGGTTCGCTAAGGAGTCGTATTAGACCTGCTAGGGCTCTTAGCTTGGGGGGTTGGGGCTCAGCTGAGTTTTCAATCATTTTGGACCACCATACGGAGAGAAGCATATGATGTTATGTCCACTTTTTCTAGTTCCGGTGTCGAATGTGTGCGTACCGTAAACCCATACCTTGCTCAGTGGGGCATGGTAGCTTCCTTAACCTACCAAAACCTACTTTTTTGAAGGGTATACCTACAAATTCCATATTAGGGCTTATAATAGGAACCTACAGAAAAAAGTCGGGTTTGGTAGTTTAAGGTCAAATTGAAACTCTTTCGCGAGCACCCAGCAACTCCCGCCAGCGCGTTCCCACACCGGGCCATCGCAGCACCGGGATCAGGTGTGATACCTCCAGGATGCCCTAATCCTCCAGGTACCTACTATATAGGGCCCTAGGGGCTCTAGTACCCTATATAGTAGGTACCTGGGGGGGTGGGGATGGTCTTGCAGATGCTCCAATGGCGTCTTCATGGTGAAAATGTGGAACCGTCTGGGTTTTCGTTTTTTGTCACCTTTCATTGTATACCATACATTTGTAGGTTCACCAGAGCTTGAAGCGAGTGCTAGAATCTGCTGGAACCCTAAACCCCAAAGCGAGATTGATCCAACCACCGGAGCTGCGGGGGCTTCTCCTTCTGACCGGACATCCCATGCGGATACGAGTAGTTACTGTAAATGGCCCTATAAAGTACAATACGGCCTGTCGGCTGCGGGCCCTATGATCAGAGCGCAAAGGAAGGGATCGGAGTCTATTTCTTTTGAACCTAACCTCGCCTTGCTCTCTGCGAAGGCTGCGAGCATGGCGCCCGCTTCGTGCTCGTTGTAGTCCAAAGCCAGCCTTTCTCGGGTGACTTTGCTGTGGTCCAGCGGGCGTCGTGAGAGCATCCACTGAATTTCCTCGTCCGCAACGCCTTCCTCGCATCTTCCGGCCTCGGCATCATCTGGCCAGAGCGGCGAGATGTCGACCAGGAAAGCTTCCGGAGGCTCCTCCGAAGCGGGCATTGGTTCCTTCCTCAAGCGGGCTGCAATGGTGCAGATTACTTGAGCCCCTGCGGCTGTACAAGTTGCCATGTCTGCAGCAAGTACGTCGACATGAAACCGTGTTCATGCTCTGGCTGGAAAAGCGGCCGCGCTGTGCCTCTCGTCGGCTCCCTTTTTTGCCGGTCCCATACACTTCTTTCCGACATGCTGGTTTATCACACTAGTTATCACCAGGACAAGGCGCTGCCGTTCGCCAGACCTGAACCGTAGTAGTATACCCTCGAGGCCAAACTACCTGTATAGACGACTACCGGCTACTGCTACTCCATACTCCTTGGCCAAAACCCAGTCACCCACTGCAGATGGGTTCGCCTTAGCCCAAAGGCGTCCTTCGCCTGCTCCGCATGGGCGAAGAAGGACGTGAGGCTGCGCGTGATGTTCTCCTCAAAGGCTCCAAGCTCACGGGGCGTTAGGGTGATAAAGTTTGGAAGTGTCTTCGGGAGAGCTTGTGTTTGAAGGTTTTTGTTGGGCTTTGGCTGTTGCTGGAGTGCTCGGATCCATGACCCTCTTGTTTTCGCACTTTCGGGCTTGGGGTTGCTAAAACCTTTAATTAACCCCAGACCCTATCAAAGCTATAACCCTAACTCCTAAAACCTCTTACCCTCAACCCTCAAACCGATAACCCCAAACCCGAAAACCTATAACCCTGAACCCTGAAACCTATAACCCCAAACCCTATAAACCTTATCAACCTAAACCCGAAAACCTAAACCCTAACCCCTAAACCCTGTGAACCCCGAAACCCTCTAAACCTAAACCCGAAAACCCTATAACCCCCGTGAACTGTGAGCCCTGAAACCCTAAACCCAAACCCCGAAAACCCTACAAACCCTAAGCCCTGAACCCTAAACCCTAAACCCTAAACCCGATAAACCTACAACCCTAAACCCTGTGAACCCTAAACCCTAAACCCCAAACCCTGTGAACTGGTGAGCCTCCTTCTTCTGCTTCTTCTTCGGTGGGTCCTTCGCAGGCTCCTGGTGCACTTACGCTGGCAATCAGGGTTTTAGTGTTTAGGGTTTAAGGTTTAGGGTTTAGGGTTTAAGGTTTAGGGTCCAGGGTTTAGGGGCCTAAGGGTTTAGGGTTTAAGGTTTAGGCAGTCAGGGTGTAAGAGATACCGAACGCTACACATGGAGGCTCAGCAACTCAAGCAGGCACTTGACAAACCAGAGGGCCCAACCAGAATCTACGTTGAAGGCCGCTCAAGCTCTGAACTTTAGAGTGAAGGGTTCGCCCTCACAGACACCCAAACAGGCTCGAGCTGAGCTGTAACGTTCTGGAGAGGACCACTACTACATGATGTAGATTCCTGGTGAAGAAACCCTCCTCACCGAAATAGCTATGAGCATGACAGGGTCTCTATGTACTTGCCCCATCAAGCATCTGTTTTCACAGCCTCCTAGGTTGCACGAGGCCAGTCCATGAGCATGCAAGGCGAAACGACTGAAACGATCGTCTGTAGCTCGCCGACGGCGAGTTCTCATCTGCTTCGCCCGCCAAGGCCCTAATTGGGAATCACGGAAATCCCCACGACCTGAGATGCTTCTAGGATCGGCTAGGCTAGGTCCCAAGAGTCTGCTATGATACAAGCATGGCTACGGTGAGTTGGATTACTCTACACTTGGCCATGACTTTCATCCAATACTGACAAGTAAATGATCGACAAGTCAAGTCTGCTGGATTTGGGACCCAATGCCACAACTGATTTCGCAAAACCCTTTCAAAACCTCTGGGTCAATGGATCTGCATCGAAGGCGGCCTTGGCAACTCGCTTCGTGGAGCCTTTGGTGGAGGGACCTGGTACAATGACACAACAGCCCGATCTCCGCCCTCGACTGTGGTGAGTGGTCACTATTATGGGCTGCGGTGGCACCTTGAGCCATAACTACTTCGGTATTGCGGGATCTTAATTTAAACATCATGGTGAACCAGACTGGAGGGACGACATTGGAGCGAGAAGTCCTCTGCGAAGCAACCTACACTGCCTCGGGGTTAGCGGTGTTACCAATAAGGCATACCGCGCATCCAGAAGGACGCGGGTTTAGGTCTTCGTTGTTTCGTGTGTAGGCCTTGGGGGTTTCGAGTGCACGACGCATGGATCATGGAGAAAACTTAAGAACCCAAATCGTCTTCCACGCCCATGAAACACGGCTTTCGCTATTCGGCCCAAACCCGAGAATCCTAAAACCCTAAACCCCAATTAAGGCCCGCGGTAAGGAGAACGAGTGTTTGGGCTGCTTTACGCTACAACAATGCTGTCGGGTGTGATCCCTAGGCCCTGAGACCTAAGCCCGAACCTCCCTCAGTTCTGTAAGCCCTACACTGAAAATAGCTTCTGGAATTATCGTCGGCCGCTGGAAAATACGCCTTGAACCCTGAACCCTAAAGCCTAAACCCTCACCTGGAGCATCTTTCCGCTGGCCAACAGCTTCGGCATCCGCCTGGTCTTCTTGGCTTTAGATGATAAAGCGTCCCTAAGAATTAGAACCGGGTCCCTGGAAGGGTTAAGGTGCTCATGGGCACCTGTTCTTTTGGACGATAGACGGGCCTTAAGGATCATTCCTTCCTCTAAAGTTCCGCAACATGGGCTGGAGGGTTCAGAGAGCAATGTTGGGGCCGGAATAATGTAAGAGTTTTGGGGCATGTTCAGTAAATGGGAATATCACTGAACCCCTAAACCCTATACCCTTTAACCCTAAACCCTAAACCCTTTAACTGGACAGTCTTGACCCAGACCCTCACCCTTGTGCTTGCGAGACCCCGATCCCTGAATGCAGGGTGAAGGGCCGAAGTTTGAGGGTTGAGGGCCAACCAGACTGAGTAGCTTGGTTTAGGGGTTTAGGGTTTAGGGTTTAGGGTTTAGGGTTTAGTTGAATCATTACATTGACTACTCCGCTGTTGAACCAGAATCTCCTTACCGCCTGGGCGAACCCCAAATTTTGAGACTACTGCAATACAGATCCTTGTGTTAGCGACAGTTCTTACTAAGATTCAGATGCATGTGGGGTTCTGGGGATTCTGGCGATTCGGAATTCGAGTGGGATTAGGTTCATCAGGGTTTTGGGTGACGCATCACACTAAACTCTAAACCCTAAACCCTAAACCCAAACCCTAAACCTTAAACCCTAAACCCTAAACCCCTAACCCCTAAACCCTAAACCTTAAACCCCTAAACCCCCAAACGCCTAAACCCCTAAACCCCCAAACCCTAAACCCCTAAACCCCTAAACCCAAAGCCCGAAGCCCCTTCATCAGTCGGCCGGGCCTTCGTCTCGCTGGCGGCCGGCGCTGATCCCTGCAGCTCTCAGGGACTGGCTGCTCAGGCCCTAAGGCCCCTCTTGCACCCTACGGTTTAGGGTTTAGGGTTTAGGGTTTAGGGTTTAGGGGTTTAGGGGTTTAGGGGTTTAGGGTTTAGGGTTTAGGGTTTAGGGCCTGAACCTCTACAACTCTACCTGAGCCTGGGAAGCTTGAAAAACTTCGAGAAGTTACCTATAGTCTCGATTGTAGTTCCTTTGTTGGTTTAACCAATTATATATTTATAAGGATTCTAAAGGGTCTCCCCAAAAAGGAACTACGATGGAGACTACAGGTAGGCTTCAATTTCACGGACTAATTATTGAGGACCCTACACTAAAGCCTTATAGTAACCGTTATAATAACCCTTATAGTAGCCCTTTAAAGGATTCAATTTCAGGGACGGGTCCGAGGGCATTGAGGCTTAGGACTGCTGGCGCCCACGCCGATGAATGGGATCTCTTTGAACTTGGCTGACGGTTTTTGTAAATGGGTTTAATCTAGGGTTAAGGGTTTAGGGTTTAGGGTAAATGGGTTTGATGTAGGGGCCTTAATAATTAGCATAGGGTTTTGGGGTCCTTGATAGTATTTTTATAATAAGGAACCCCAGTGTAGGTAATTATTAATAAACCTTAATGATTAGCATTTGTGTCCTTGATAGTATTCTTTTAATAAGGACCCCCCCAAAGAATGTAGGTAATTATTGAGGCAGCTATATTTGGGTGCCTTGGGCACTTTAGGATTCAGCGTGTAAGGATTTGGGATGCACGGTTTCGGGTCTTGGGGTCTGAAGGCCCTGCGACTCTGCCGGCTTCAAGGAGTCACGGATTTGGGATTTAGGGTTTAGGGTTTAGGGTTTAGGGTTCAGGGTTCAGGGTTCAGGGTTTAGGGTTTAAAGGGTTCAGGGTCCAGGGTTTAGGGTTCAGGGTTTGGGAGGTTTATGGCTTCGTCGGGCTTAAATTATGTCTTAGGGCTTTGGCTTCTCGCATGCAGTGGGGTACGGCGGTCCTTTCCAAGTGTATGCTTCTTTCCTGCTAAACTCGGCCAGAAATGCCAGAAACACCGTATCGCATAGTCATAAGCCGTCTCCTCCTCGTGATGCGAAGCCATTCATAGACCCCCCAGTCCCCCCTAGACGGAAACCCTAAACCCTAAACCCAAAACCCTAAACCGGGGAAAGCCCTGAAGCCCGAACCCAAGAGGCTCTCTGGATGAGCTCTTGGCATGGCCCCTTTTGTCAAGGCAACTGTTCACAAGAGAGGCCGTGGTGTTGCAGCAAGGCCGGTGCTTCAATGAAAACGCGTATACCGATAAATATCTGACACCTAGGACCTAGGGAGCCGCTTCCATAAAGGGGTCCTGAGAACATGGAGCATCGAGTCATGGGGGAAACAGAGGGTGCGCAGACATGAAACTTGTCACGCAGTGTGTTTCGGAAGCAAGGCCCTCCTCGAATCCTTTAGCCACCCAGCGATCCCGACAGCCCTTCAGCAAATTATATTACTGCCTAAATCATAAAGGGTGAATAAAAAATAGGGATTACAGTACTACAAAGGTCCTCGGGGTATGGTTTTCATGAGTTAAGAGATCTTGGAATCTCTGCGAAGCTACCGTGCCTGGACTTGCTTGTGCATCTCCTCGAGAAGCCTGATGCCAGTTGGCCGATG